TCAACACCCAACCATATGCTACTTGCATACAGAAGCACCGTTTGCGATCACATGGATGCTGCCACCATAGGATCCCCATGTAGCATAAGTGCAGGGAGTTGCCGATGGCGCTGGTCTGGTTTTCAGCTAGCGTCGATCTATTTTCGTCGACGCTCTACTCGCACACAGAAACACCATCCGACCGTGATGGCATGGATGCTGCAACCATAGGATCTCCAACTAGCATTAGGGCAGGGAGTCGCTGATAGCGGGATTTCGGCCGGCGTCGCACTATGTTCGGCGACCCTCCCTTCCGAGCCCCCTTCCCCTCGTGCCAATAGTGCACGTGTGATTTCACACTCACCCTGTTAGTTCAGAGTTATCAACCTTATGGGTCTAGGCTACCACAATCAAATGTGAAAAAGACAAACAAACTATTAGGGTGCATCTTTCCAAGTGATAGGGACAAATACGCTCTCGATTTGCACATCTGGCGCTTAGTCCGTCGAGGCCCTGAACGGGTGTAGCATTCACGGACACGGACCGGGCTACCGTAGTTTCGGTTTTACGGAATTTTCGGGCTGAGATGACATTGCGCCACCACGTAGGGTCTCGCTGCACTACTCTCCAAATGTGCAAAACGAGAATGAATCTTCTGCTAAAACTTGGCAATATACGCCACCATATTCTTTGTCTTTTGTGCATGTGGAGAGTCATGCAACGAGGCCCGTAGTCTCTTTGTGTGCCGCAACTTTTTTTTTTTTTTTTTTTTTCCAGAAAGGTAATGTATTTATTGCTCGTGAAAAAATTATTGAGGCCGGGTCCTCACATTATCCGGAAACAACAAAAACAACAAATCCTCAACACCCGAAAGAAAAAAGGAGGTCGCTGTCCAAATGGAACAGAGAAAAAACACCTACCTATAAACCAAAATCCAACAAAACCTACAGCAAAACGTAAAAGAGAAACCAAATAATGGTCTCTGTCCTCTTTGGAGCAGAGAGAAAACACCAATCCTATGCCGAAACAAAAGGAGCCATAGAAGGGAGGGAGAAAATAACAAAGCAAACAACACAAACTAACCAACCAATTGTTAGTGGCCTGAGTTATCAAGTCCTAATTAGGATCCTACTCAGGACCGGAGGTAATCAGAGGCATCTACAAAATCCTCCCTAGTTCACACTCCGCCCCCAGTCCCAAGCCGGTCCCCCTCTCTGTTGTCCTACTGCGAACGAAATCAACCGAGTGTTCAGGTTGTAAGCCCATGCAAGAGTCAAGGCGCCAATGAGAGTCTCCCCTGGTCTGTAACTGTAGCGATTTTATTCTTCAAACTCAACCCCCAGGTCTTAAAAAACCAACGACATCTTTTCTTATCCGTTTTTTTCTTCTGCACTCTCTGGGCCCAATCCACCAAAACGACTGTACGTAACTGATGTCGTATTTCCACCTGCATCTGTTTCGGCGCTTATACATATTTCTTGAATACTTTAGCATTTCTTCCCTGCCATAGTGCCCAGAGAAGTATGGACCTTGCCGCCTGGGCTACATACCCTCATCCAGATATGACGGGAGCCGCCCTGTCAGTATCCAGTCTTCATTCCAGACCAAGACGTTGTTGGACATATTTTTTCAGTGTTCCCTCCACCATGTTCAAATCTGTTGAGCGACCAAACAATCCAAGAACAGATGCCTGGTGGATTCTTCCTCCGCATTACATTGGACACAAATAGGGTCAACTTCCATTCCTCGTTTTCGTAGCCAAGTAGCAGTAGGAATGATCCCTCTCGAGAGCATCCAAAGGAGGCCGGCATGCTTTCTGGATGGAAGAAATTGTAGCTGAGTCCACAAAGCTTGCAGCTGACCTCTCTGAGAAATTTCAGGCAGACCCAGAGTTTGCAACAGTTTCCTCCACATTTGCTCTTCTGGTTCTGCTGGGGGTTTAAGCAGCAATGTGCCCAATTTTACTGTGTAGTCCTCAATTATAATCTCCCTCTGCTCAGGATCTACTGTTTCCCAGAAAAAGCTTTGAGGGTCTATTCGCATTTGATCCAATGAGGCATCTCTTCATAACAACTTTACTGGTTTACCCCCACGCCATTTTGGGGAAATTTCCACTCTCACATGTGCTCCCAAGTCCTCCGGACTCTGTGTCACTGTCCCGTCGTAGCAGATGTAGTTGCCTGCGTTAACTTTCAATACCCATTCCTCTACGATTACAATATCTCCTTCATCTGAGAGTACTCGTGCATAACTTTGGGCCTCTCGGTCTGAGTTCTACAGATGGTGTCAGGCTAAGTTAGTGTAGCCTTCATTCAGCATAAGTTCCTTCCATTCGATTGGGATAGCGGTAATCAGGTCTTCCGCTCTTGGTCCAACATGCCTCAGTCCCCCTAGTTTCTCTCGTAAGTTATTCTATGTTCGCCATTGTTTACCTTCCTCGTCCCACAGGTCTCTGATGTCGACTACACCCCGCTCCACCCACTTCCTACCAAAACACCCTTTCGCATTAGTGGCCAGAAACGGCTCCCCTAGTAGATCTAAGATCATCGGGTTATCAAAGAGATTTTGCCTCAGCACCGCACTCTTTGAATCTACCTTCAAATTCCTCGGTCTGAGTTTCTGCCAAGCTTTTAGGATGTTAATCCGAACTTGGGATGAAGAACCCCGCCGCAAGAAAAAGGACATCTGCATACACACCCATACATCTTCCTCTCTAGATAATCCCCAATCATATTGCAAGATGTACTCCGCTAAACTTACCCATACCCTTTCCTCTTCTAATGTAGCGATTTTTATCATCCATTTGGCCAAAACTGTCAGGTTATGGTCCCCCGGGTCTGTAATATTCAACCCACCTTATGAAAAAGGTGTTGTGACCTTTTTCCATGCCAATTTTGACATGCATTTCCCTTCCTTTTTATCCGGGCTCCATGGGAACCTAGCACTTGCTTCCAAGATTTTTACGATAGTMCCCTTTGAGGACCGCCTGTATCTTCGATCGGATTGTGAGACCTCTGATTTGAGGATGTTTCCTAATAGCATTAAGTACCACTTCCATCTGTATCACAAACAACAGCGGTGTCAAAGGGCAACCTTGGCGCAGAGAACGAGTGAGGGGGAATTCCTCAGACAGAGTCCCGTTGATCAAAACTGCGGGTGTAGATAGGGAGTACATCACGTTGACCCAGCGAGAGAAGTTCGGGCCGAAATTCATCAGTTCTAGGGTAGGTTGGACAAAGGTCCAATTGACCCTGTCATAGGCCTTTTCAAGGTCCAACATCATGATGGCCACCGCCCTATCCTTTCTCCCAACTATTTCCAAAGCTTCAATCGCCATCATGATGTTGTTCATAATTGAACGGCCCTTAACAAAGGCACCTTCGTCCGTTGCCACAAGATGAGGTAAGTGTGGAGCCAGCCGAATGGCCAAAGCCTTCGCAAAGATCTTGTAGGTGACATTTAGTAAAGAGATAGGACGGTAATTCCTAATATTATTTGTGTCCCCTTTTTTATACAGTAAAGAGATGATTCCTCTAGACATATCCGTTGTGAGCCAACCCCCAAGTAGGATGTTATCATAAATACGCAGCAACGGCGGGCCTACCTGATTCCATACAATTTCAAAATATTCCACAGGCAGACCGTCATCACCTGGACATTTTCCTTTAGCCATCCGTTGCTGGAAAAGTTTTGGCATCACCCGGACCGTCATTACCTGGACCGTCAACACCCGGATCCCACTGACCGGCGGCTGGAAAAGTTTTGGCATGGAAGGGCAATTGCGGACCCCATTGGGCCGCCAGATGCATCGCCGACGGTATGCCAATGTCTTTTACAGACCCCACTGCCATTCTGGAAACACTGTTGGCCGTGTTTCTACTCGACTGGCGGCTGGAAAATATCCGCCAGAAACCGGCGGCCGTCTTCCAAAACGTCCTCCAAACGGGTAGGGGCTCGAAAGTGCCGAAAAGTTTCCATCACTGCCGGCCGCGTGTGGTTCACAAAACGGGCGTCTCGTACGTCGGGGCGGACCAGGCCGAAACGCAGCGGTCGAACGTCGTGTCGCACTTTTCGTCCAAACGGGCCGTACGCGGTCCCTTCAGATGGTCCCCCGCCGTGGTCCCGCTGCATTTCGAAACGCGGGAGCGGCAAATTTGAATTCAAACGGTGTTTGAACGAAATTTTCCACCGTGCCAAGAAGTACTTTGGGCGGAGAGAAGGAATACAGGCCATTGTGCTCTCTGTCGATCACGTGGCCGCAGTTTTTGTCACGACCTTGCTGGTCTGAAGTTGTCTTCTTCGTTCGAGCACCGAGTGGAAGGTCGATCTGCCATGCGAGTACTCACAGGACTTGCGTGTTTCAGGCGTGTGGCTTCCGTCCAAGGTGCTTCCATGTCCCACGGTCGTCCTTTGTGGAGTTGTTGTTGGACGCATTCGGATGCCTCCACTGCGGTCCGGACGCTACTGCAGTTTCCTGTGTTCAACTCCGGACGTGCAGCTGCGCGAGCCTCTTTCCGTGGCAGTGGTTGTGGTGATGTGGTTGTTCCAACGTCGTTGTCGCTGTTCACTCCGACGGCTGCCCCACAGAGAACCCCATCCGCATCTTTCGTCGTCCATTCACTGCGATCTCCAGCCTGCAGCGCAGGTCCTCCGTTGTGTAATCGACAAGCGGATGTTGGCAGAAGTGCAGGAGAGCGTGTGCAGGTCAAAAGTGGACACGTGGCGATCGGAGACAGCACGACGCCATCTACACATGGGTCTGGTGAGGGGTGTCGCTGCAGTTCTGTGAGGGGATGTCATGTGGTTGTCGTCGTGGCGAACGGGCGTTGTGGTGGCCCCGTGGAAGATGTGTCGCTGCTCGTTGTGGGCGTAGCAGTCATTATCGTCCTCGCCTTCGTGGTAGGGGTCTTGCTTTTGTCGTTAGTTGTCACGTTCGTTGCCATTGGCCTTCTCTGCAGGCGTCTGTAGTCATCCTCCGTACGGGTGGGGCCAAAGGTGCCACCTTTCGTTATTGATTACGCGGTGTGCTCCGGTGGCAGTTCGGTAATGGAGTCCACACATTGGACGGGTGACGTCGAAGTTCGTTCCGATGGTAGTACTGACATGCACGACGATCGTGTGCATGCACGGCCCCATTCTCGCGGGCAGGGGTTCCCGAGCATGCATTCCTTTGCCGTCGTGCGTCAATCAACGTCAGTCGTGCAACGTCAGTACTTCCCCTCACGTGCGCCTTCCCCGTCGTTGCCCTTCGATAGAGGGTGTGGTAGACATTCTCCCGAGAGGTTGCATGCAGGCCTTCTGCATGGTTGTCCACCAGCGGTGGACATGCGGGACGACGGTGGTTTCGCCGTTGATGATCACTCTTTCTCCGTCCAACAGCAGTGCGATTTGTATGCAGCGAGGGCATGCACAGAAGGGACAAGCATGGGTGCAGGTTTTGGCATGCCGGCGGCGGGCGCACGGAACATGGACATGGGTGGCGCACCTTGGTCTCCCCAATGCACCCAGAGCACGGTGCGGTCGTTCGGCATGCGGTGTTCTCCATCTCCTCAGGTGGGCTTTCACACGGACGGCCCGTGGAATCGTACGAACATGCGGCCGGTGTCTCCCGAGACTCGCATGGATTCACCGTACGACAAAGGCGCCGCCGTTTCCGAAGGAGCCGGTGAAGACGGTCATGCAAAAACACGAAAGTGTTGTTCCAGTGATGGCAAGGTCGATGGGCGAGCAGGGTGATGCGCAGGGCCGGGGTGCGGAAGGCGGGGAAGGGAGCAGGCGGCCGGCGAATGCTCGACCGCCGGCTCAAAAGAAGCAAAGCGTGCCATGGACGTTGGACGAGCGAGTGAAGCTTGCATTCGTTATAGGCGAGGACGATGCCCTTATGGCGGATGCTAACGGCCAACACCGATTCAAGCAGAGCAAAGAGCGGTATGCATGGGTGACCGATAGGATGAAGGACGCTGGCTTCAAACACAGGACCGCTGAAGACTGCCGCAATAAGTGGTCCAACATGCTGCAGACGGCGAAGCTCATCGTCGAAAAGTGTCACACGTCTGAACAGTCGTCGGATTGGGATCTATCTGTGGAGGAACGAAAGGAGAAGAATCTCCCGCTGTCTTTTAAAAAACCGATGTGGGACGCTATGCAGTGGAAACTAAACCGGTCGTCGATGAGGTGTGACAACACCTTGGCTTCGAAGAACCTATCGGGGGATGGAACAGATCCATTACCGGCGGGAGGATTGGATGAAAGATGCGCGGAATCGGATAATTCTGCGAAAATGAGGCGGATGGTCACCGGGAAGGCGAGAAGGGAAGATGGCAGTAGCAGTGGCACGAGTATGGGGAGGGCCATGGAAGATTCTACACACTCGTAGTGTGATGGCCTGGACAAAGCGGCCACCTCCCTTGCCAAAGCCACCGCAGACGCAGGCACCGCAATTGCCACTCGGATAGGGGATGTGGCCGACGCGATGCGGGGTGGGAACAGTGTTCTGGAGTTGCTAGTTGGGGTTCTAGCCCGCAAGGAGCGAATGGAGGTCTCTCCACTGAAACGGGTCGGGATACAGACCCTTCATCTCGATTAAAAACATATATATAAAAATA